GGGCCTGCACAAACTTATTTGCTGACAGGCTCACTCATTTTGAACTCCAGTGCTAAGCTGGCAGCTCAAAAGGCACCAGGGATACATGAGAAGGTACTAAATTGTCTGTCTTTACATCAAGGGCTAGAGGTGCAGCATTCTCTTAGAAATGCTAACAGAGGCCATTATTCCTTTGCTAAGTTCTCCCCCTACAGGTGCAGGCAGGCACTACATCTGAGTATCCATCACCCTGGCTAACACCATCGACCCTGACCCACCCAACTTGTGGGCCCAAGCAAGCCTCTTCCAGTGGTTTTCCATACAAATGGCCTGTCTTGACTCATAATATAGCAGACTTTCCTAAAATCACTTAAAGGCTCACAAACGCTAAATATATGGAATTTGGCCTCAGTGTGCCCTGTATCGTTTGATAAGTGGCCTCAGGCTAGACACTTGTGGCAGCCAGACTTGGTTCACAACTTGGCCTCTCTCAGGCACCACCAAATCCAGCACAAGGGGCAACCATCGGCAGATCACTTTATAGCTCAGAGCAGGAGGCCCCCAAGCAGGGCACAGGCAGTGGCTGACCTTGGCCTGCACCTTCCAAGAGGCCTGAGAACCAACATACCCAGTGCCCAACTTCAGACTCCACCAGAGCAGCACTTCCACAAACAACACACTCAAAAGGTAGACTGGGCAGGCACCAGAACCCCACTAAAGCGAATCCAGCTCCATGGGATTAGCCTTTGCACAGTATCTCCTCCACAATAGTCGCAACCAGTCCTCAAACCAATCAGTCTGTGGGTCAATTCCCTCCCATCGACATGCCAACAGCAGTCAAGGCTCAACTACACTGGAGGGCACATAGGACCCACACGAGGAACACACCTGAGTGAACAGAAAGCATGTGCCACTGAGCCACACAGGACACTTGCTACATAAAAACACGCTTACCAAAACAGAGAGGCAACCAAAATGAGGAGACAAAAAACCATGTCCCAAATGAAAGAACAGAACTCCAAAAAAAGAATTAAACAAATTGGAGACAAGCAATGTATCTGGTGCAGAGGTCAAAACTCTGGTAATAAGAATGCTCAATGATCTCAGTGAGAACTTCAAAAAGATAGGAAACAGAAACTCCTTTCCCCAGGAGCGTGGGGTCTTAACCCACAGAAGGATCCCCAACACAGAGCAACAGTGATGGAAAGAGGAACCTGCATAGATGAGCATCTGCTGGTGAAAACCGGTGGGGTTCAGTGCCTGGGAGACAAGTGCGTCTGCTAAAGACACAGACACCTTCCCAGGTCAGAGCACTCCTGTTGTTATAGCACCAGCCTGGGGAATACAATGCCTGGTCCCCAACTGCTGATGAAACCACTCTGCTGTGCTGGGCCCCCTTTTTCTCAGGAGGCTCTTGACGGAGACTTAGACATGACTAAACTGTGTGCCTTTGGAAAGGGGACCAATCTCCCCCACCTTGAGCACAGCCAGTGCCTCCCAACCCCACCTGTTGAATTACTTGGCCAGCCTTGTCCTGCTGAGCTCAGTTGTGCAGGGAGATCAGAGTGTTGTGCAGAGCTGGCACTTTCATAGCCTCCCGGAGAAGCTTTTTAAAAATTATTTACTTATTTATTTTTTTTACGTAATCCCCACTCCAGGATATGCTTACTGATTTTAGAGGGAGATGGGGGGGGGGGGACCACATCAATTTATTGCCTCCTATCTCACCACGACCAAGGACTGAACCCACAACTTTCCAGACAATGCTCCAACAAACTAAGCCACTAGGCCAGGGCTCCCAGGGAAGCTTTTGTTTAAGAATTAAAAAGTTGGGTGCTGGTTTGTGTAGCTATATCACCAGAAGCCCCATTTATCTTCTCTGCAAGCTCACCACACCCTCCCCAGGAAGAAGACGTGCCTGCCCCCCTACTACAGGCTTGCAGGCACCACCTCTCAATGGGAGTCTGTTTGGATCTGCCCTTCCAAGTCCCAGACACCCAACCTAGCTGAGCTCAGTTCTGCAGGCAGAAGGAAGAGCTGCTCAGAGTTGAGATATTAGAGTGTGAGTCTCTCAGAGGCTACTGTCTGCGACCAGAAAAAAGTGCTTAGCCCACTCCTGCGAGCTGGGCCAGCATCAATCCCAACGGGAGACTCTTGATCTATCCTCCTGAGTCCAGTGGCTCTGCCCAGCAGAGCTGACTCATGCAGAGAGGATGGCTGGCTGCACCCAACATAAACTTGCGGCGTGCTCCTCCTGGGTGAACCAGAGTTGGAGACTCTGGCAGAGACTGAGTGGTTTGGCTCTGGAGTAGGGACCACTTTTCCTCTCATTGAGTGCCTGACCACATGACCTCCAAGAGGGGACCCACTAGCTCAGTGATGGCGAACCTATGACACGCGTGTCGGAGGTGACACGAGAACTCATTTTTTCGGTTGATTTTTCTTTGTTAAATGGTATTTAATATATAAAATAAATATCAAAAATATAAATCTTTGTTTTACTATGGTTGCAAATATCAAAAAATTTCTATATGTGACAAGGCACCAGAGTTAAGTTAGGGTTTTTCAAAATGCTGGCACACCGAGCTCAAAAGGTTCGCCATCACTGCACTAGCTCCATCCTCCCAACCCTGGTTACCCAACCCTACCAAGCTTGCAACTTGTGGAAGGGGCTGTGGGTTGCAGGCAGCCTGGGCACACTCTCTAATCATCCTTCAGAAGACTCTGGAGGAAGATTAGGCAACCCCGGGGAGAGGTAGAGTAGCTGACAAGGACAGGTGGACCTCAGAGAACCTGTCCTCTTACATGCCCCCAGCTCGAAGTTGAAGGAAGCTGACCCTTATACACATACTAGAGGCCCAGTGCACGAAATTCGTGCACGGGTAGGGTAACTAAGCCTGGCCAGCAATCAGGGCCGATCGTGGCCTTCCGGCTGCTAGTCAGGGCCTCCCTTCCCCAGCTGCCAGCTGCTGGCCAGGGCCTTCCTTCATTCTGTGCCACCCCCTAGTAGTCAGCACATGTCATAGCAAGCGACTGGTCTCCTGGCTGAACTCCTGTGGGGAAAATTAGACTGGCTAATATAGACTGGCTTCTCCCACAAACACCAGGCCAAGGAGATGCAGCCACAAAGGTGAAAAATATAGTAGCTCCAGACAGGTAGCCCAATGCTGGTTAAGCATAACATCTGACATGAACCCCACCCAAGTGGGCCCAGAACCAACACAACCAGTGGTGGACTTCAGACCATACCAGAGCTCAACCCAACTAGCCAAACAATTGGCACACCCAAAAAGGAATTCTGGTAGGCACTAGGCCCTGCTGGAAACAACTCCACCTTAGGGGATAGCCCCTGCACAACATCTCACACAGTGATTGAGGTTTATCCTTATGGTCAGTCAGCCTGAAGGGTTAAGTCCACCCACAAAAGGCTAAACAGCATTCAAAATTAAACTACAACAGGAGGGTGCACATAACACACAAGAAATATTCCTGGAGCATGGAGCTCAGGTGCTCTGGAAGGTTTTGGCACTGAGGCCAACACCTTCATCATAAAGCCACCATAACAAGTTTGGGAGTTGTACCCGATCTACCTAATACACAGAGACAAAATGGGGAAATAAATAAATATACCCCAAGTTAAAGAGTAAGATAAATACCCAAAGAATTAACTTAAATGAAGCAATCAAAATACCAGAGGCAGAATTTAAGACAATGGTTTTAAAGATGCTCTAGGCCAGCCGTGGGCAAACTATGGCCCGCGGGCCGGATCTGGCCCGTTTGAAATGAATAAAACTAAAAAAAAAAAAAGACCGTACCCTTTTATATAATGATGTTTCCTTTGAATTTATATTAGTTCACACAAACACTCCATCTATGCTTTTGTTCTTGCCCTCCGGTCCAGTTTAAGAACCCATTGTGGCCCTTGAGTCAAAAAGTTTGCCCACCCCTGCTCTAGACCTTAGGGGAAGAATGGTTATCTCAGTGAAACCTTAAACAAAGAGATAAAAGCATCAATATAGGACATAGAAACCACATAAAATAACCACTCAGAAATTAAGAATAAGTAATACAATTCAGTCAAATGTCTCCCATCTAGAACAATTCCATTCTCGACCAAGTTGTTCACGGAAAAAACATCTTGGTTGTGGAACAAAACTTCAGTTTTCAACCTGACAGCCCATTCATGCATGACAAAAAGTATCTCTCAGGCAACAAAGGAGATAATGCTTTTAAAACATAAAAAGGCCATCAGAGTGCTAATGTTACAAAGGGTGTGAAAGTGCTCACAAAACAACAGCCATAAGCAATTGAAAAGGTAGAAAAACTTTTGTTAATAAACAAAAAGCAGTTAGCCAGTGATAGTAATTCAGAGGTAGTAATATATGAAAAATTCCATTTAAGACCAGTAGGGGGAAATCTTTAAAATGTATAAGGTGTCCCAAAATTCATGCAAGAAGTAATTTTGATAGAAAACACAGGTTTATAATTAAAAATTATAAATTTTTTACTGATTCATAAAGTATACAGTATAGGGTTATGTATGGAATAACACATCGGGTAAATGGCCTCCACGGCTTTGCTGGCACATACACAAAGCCATGGTCTTCATTGGTCTTCTTTGTCCCTGCTTCTGGGCCATAACTGGTACTTGGTAATGCTTATCAAATTGAAGGGATTGAAATCAAAAGGCAACAGATATTAGAATCTGATTCAATAAACCAAGTAAAATTAGGCTTATATTTTTTGTTGTTGTTGCTAATGCTCATGCAAAATTCAAATCTTGCGTGAATTCTGGGACACCCTTTACATTCTCAAGCCTCAACCAAAATCTACTACAGAATATCTGGAGATCAGGCATGGGAATCTGCTCTTTTGATAAGCTTCAGATTATTCTAAGATACATGGATGTTTTAAGAATTTGATCACAGACCAAAACAAAGAATTATGAGAAACAAAAATAAAAATTATGAGAAACAGCCTCAAAATAAAACAATTCAGGATAAGACCTGTAATACACCTACCTGTGTAGCTTTGTCCTTCATGCAAGGAGCAGTTTGACCATGATTATCACGAGGCCAGTGCCCTGCAAGGTATGGAGCAGCAAGTGTATCCAGAGAGGAAGTGCGGCGAATAATAGTAGAGGGGCTTGAGGAAGGCGGTCGCGTTTTGTCACCTAAATTTAAGGCAAATATATTTATTTTAAAAATAGATGAAAGAAAAAAAGTAGAACCTAAGTTTTAAAACAGTCAGGAGTTTCCTAACTAAAATATAAAATATATATAACAAAAAGAAATTACAAACTACTAGAGGCCTGGTGCACAAAATTCATGCACGGGTAGTGTCCCTCAAGCCTGGCTGGCAATCAGGCCAGAGCCTCCCTTCCCCAGCTGCCAGCTGGGGCCTTCCTTCGTTCCACGCCACCCCCTGGTGGTCCACACGCATCATAGCAAGCGATCAGTCTCCCGTCAAACTCCCATTGGGACAATTTACATATTAGCCTTTTATACATAGACTAGTAGCCCGGTGCACAAAAATTTGTGCACTCGGGGGTGAGGGGTGGGCCAAACCCCTCAGCCCGACCTGCATCCTCTGTCATGTTCTGGGACCCCGGCCACTCCTGGCCTAGGCACAGCCTACAGGCTTGGGGTGGCCTGGGGGGACCAGTGGCTGATCGGTGCATTAGCACCTGCCAATCCGGAATCCCCACGGGAGGGTCGTTTGTGGGCGTGGCCATTGGCGGATCAGTGCATTAGCACCCGCCAACCCGGATCCCCACAGGAAAGCCGTTTGTGGGCGCAGCCGGTGGCTAATCGGTGCATTAGCACCCACCAATCCGGGATACCCACAGGAAGGCCGTTTGTGGGCACAGCTGGTGGTTGATCGATGCATTAGCACCTGCCAAACCGGGATCACCACGGGAGGGTCATTTGTGGGTGTGACCATTGGCAGATTGGTGCATTAGCACCTGCCAACCTGGGATCCCAGCGGGAGGGCCATTTGTGGGCGCAGCCAGTGGCTGATCGGTGCATTAGCACCTGCCAGACACGGACCCCCGCAGGAGGGCCATTTGTGGGCGTGGCCATTGGCGGATCGGTGCATTAGCACCCACCAACCCGGGATCCCCAGGGATTAGATAGAGATAAGGGAGGAAAAATAAAAGTACTGGGAGAGAAGCAGGGACCTTTGTGATAAGGAAGTATTCAATATCTTGACTGAAGTGGCAGATATAGAAACATACAAACAACAGTAAAAGTATAGAATTACACACACACATACACAAAAGAATACAAGTAAAATTGAAGACATCTGAATAAAGCAGTGAATTGTACAATGTCAATATTCTGGCTATAATGTTGTAGAGTAATAGTTCTACAAAATGTCATTGGGGAACCCAGGCAAAGTGTACAAAAGATCTCTTTGTTTTATTTCTTACAACTGCAATTACCCCTACACACACACACACACACACACACGGAAAAGACAAATGTATGTCTATCAATTTAAAAAGTGTTCATCTAGGTTTTAAAATTAAATTGGTATGATATGTAAAATACTCATTCATCATTATACCATCTATACTCAAAAGGACATAAGGCAATTAAGATAAAGTTAAAATTACACTTTAACCTACTTCTATAAAAAATCATTATCTTAGTGAGATTTTGTTACAGTAAATACACTGCAAGAAACCATATTAACCAGGCTACAGGAGTTCTAATTAAAGCCACATATGCAAAAAATTTTGCATTTCAAGATACAAATAGTTATATACTTAGATGTAAACCAAAAGCAAAATACTAGAGGTAATAGGAAGTTAGAGGTGATGCAGAAGAAACATCCTCATATCTCCTTTTTTTTTTGATGTGGGTTAGGCATAGGCTTAATTTATGCTGTAAATTAAAGAAAATTAAGAAGCTTAAATATATTAAGCATAAATATATGCATTCATAAGATTATAATACTACTAGTGAGCCGGTGCACAGATTCGTGCACATTGAAAGGAAATTAATTAGAAGAAATATTTTAATATCGCTATTCACCCTTCTCTATAATACAAGTGTCAACCAAACACGATTGACAATGACAGATCAAAACACACCCGCGCAACTGGAACCAGCGAAAGCTTTATATGTATTGTGCGTGTGCAAGTCAACTTAGCCTTTTATCTATGTACTAGGAGCCCAGTGAACGAATTCATGCACCTTGCAAGTAACTGTGGGCCACAAGGCTTTGGTGGGCACAGGGGCGGGTCTCAGCCCATCCTCCACGCTCCTGCCCAGGCCCCCAGTTCCGTGTCTGCTGGCAGCCCTGCTCCCGTTGCCACCGCTGGCCCTGCTTTCACCCACTGACAGTGTGCAGCAATTGAGGCCTGCTGCCCTGATCGCCACTCAGGAGCAGGGGGAGGTGGAAAAGCCCCCAGGGCGATCGGGGCTGCCAGCTGCTGCTCACACCAAAGGAGCAAAGAATTTTCAGGAACCACCAGAGGCTCACCCTGATGACAGCGACTGGCACCCTGCGTGGTCTGGAACCCCCGCTCACCTGCTCCACCATCCGGGCACAGCCAATGCCCACCATGCTCCATGCTCTGCCGCCTGCTGCTGACACCTGCCATGTTCCACGCACGCCCCTGGTGGTCAGCGCACGTCATAGCAACTGG